TGCCCAGGCTGGGTGTCAGCAAACTGCCGCCGGCTCAGCAGGAGCCAAGCCGGGACTTTGGCGCGATCCCGGCCAGCCAACATGGGGACCTGGCTGGGCTTGGCCACGCTGGGATGGGCGGCTGTCCCCTGCTCGGGGACAGGGTCACACCAGCACGTGTGACCGTCCCCTCACCCCCCGGCGCAGTGATCCGATGCTAATCGGGGCAGACGGGTCCCCCCTCTTACCCGGCTAAATACTTGCACTGTTCCTCAGCGGTGACTCGGTTGCAAGCTCTGTCTGTCTCCCGTTAATCACTAATTAAAGGCTTGAATGTTCCCTGCTGTTTGGGGTATTAATAAGAATTTAATTGCACAGTTTGGGGCTAATTACGTGGTAGCTCGCTTCCGCCCTTGTACAGTATGCCCAATTAAACAATCATATGATCAATTAAACAATCACAAGATCTAATAATTTGCAATAATAGACTAATTAAATGTTGACACCTTGCAATGGAGCAACCTTCTGTCCCCCTTTTGATGGTGTTTGAACCCCTGCCCAGGCCCTGGCCGCCCCACAACCTCTTCTCCTCCGGGCTGCTGTGGATGGAGGAGCCCGGGGCGACGGCTCGAGGGGGTTTGGGGCAGGGACCCCGGCACAGGACGGGCAGCGCCATGCACTGGGACACACCCATGGCAGGTGATGGAGCCCATGGTGCAGGAGGGGGGCTCGCCACCCCTACAAGTTCCCTGGGAATAATTAGCAAAGGCAGCCGGCTCAGCGAAACCCTAGACCAGCCGCTGCTGCCAACCCGCCCGGGGCGACGGCTCGAGGGGGTTTGGGGCAGGGACCCCGGCACAGGACGGGCAGCGCCATGCACTGGGACACACCCATGGCAGGTGATGGAGCCCATGGTGCAGGAGGGGGGCTCGCCACCCCTACAAGTTCCCTGGGAATAATTAGCAAAGGCAGCCGGCTCAGCGAAACCCTAGACCAGCCGCTGCTGCCAACCCACAGCAGATTCGAGCTACGCACCTGCTTTGGCTGGAAGGGAGCCCCG